ATAGATAGATAGATAGATAGATAGACAGACAGATAGATAGATGAGACGGATGTATGGATAGATAGATACAGAGATACACAGACAGACAGATAGATGAGATAGATGCATAGATAGATAGAGGAGATGGATGTGTGGATAGATAGATAGATATAGGTGATAGTAGACAGGTAACAGACCAGATAATGGATAGGCAGGTGATAGATGTGATGGATAGAGCTAAGAAAGTGGAGAGAAGGGGAAAGAGGGTGAGAAACAGAAGAAAGACCGGGCGCAGGGGTGAAGGTGGGGAGCGTCCAAGCCTGCCTTCCCAGACCCCCATCTGCACAGCTGGGGAGAGAGTCCCCCTCCCCGTGCCTGGCCTATGAGACGCGCTGGCCCAGTGCACATGGCTCTGGACCCTGCCTGGACAGAGCAATGGCCCCAGGAGCCTGGAGCTTCCACAGCATTAGAGTTGGCAGCGGTTGCCCAGAGCCCTGGCTGAGGCCGGACCCCAGCAGGACCTTGGGGATGTTCAGCCATGTGCCCCAAGGAAGGGGACATGTGGCTGGCTGGGCAGGTGGGGCCCCTGTGGGGCAGAGACAGCCACAGCGTGGCAGTCCCCTAGGCACCAGAAATTCCAGGGGTGATTTTTGAGGGTAATAATTGTTCACAGACAGCCATCTGAGAAGATGCCAGTCCTACGGGGTGGCTTTCAAACTTGGGGACAGTTGGAGACAGGCGTTGGTAGAGAATTCCCTTCCCACCTGTAGGGATCATTCCCCAAAGGTATCAGCAATGGCTATGGAAACAAGCAAATGATTGATGTGGATACAATGTAACTGTCACATCTGTGGCCATGGAAACAAGCAAATGATTGATGTGGATACAATGTAACTGTCACATATGTGGCTATGGAAACAAGCAAATGATTGATGTGGATACAATGTAATTGTCACATATGTGGCTATGGAAACAAGCAAATGATTGATATGGATACAATGTAACTATTGCATATGTTTCTATGGAAACAAGCAGATGATTGATGTGGATACAGCCTAACTATGACATATGTTTCTATGGAAACAAGCAGATGATTGATGTGGATACAGTGTAACTATGACATATGTGGCCATGGAAACAAGCAAGATTGATGTGGATACAGTGTAACTGTCACATATGTGGCTATGGAAACAAGCAAATGATTGACGTGGATACAGTGTAACTGTCACATATGTGGCTATGGAAACAAGCAAATGATTGACGTGGATACAATGTAACTATCACATATGTGGCTATGGAAACAAGCAAATGATTGA